TTCTTCTTCTTCTTCTTCTTCTTCTTCTTCTTCTTCTTCTTCTTCTTCTTCTTCTTCTTCTTCTTCTTCTTCTTCTTCTTCTTCTTCTTCTTCCGATTGCGAGCGGTGGTGGTGGAGAGAAGATCCCCGGGGTGCGAGCTGTCGCGCGTGTTCTTGTGCTAGCCGCGTGCTCCGTCGTGCTGCCGCCGCGACCCCAAACGTCCGGCTTTGTCTGGCCTGCCCCATCCCATCCCACCCCATCCCCTCCTACTCCTACAACGCTCTGAATGCGCCCGACTATAAGGGCCACTTTTACCATCCACTATTGTGGCTTTAGCGAAGTCACAGTTTAATTTTCAAACATACCGGCATTTCAAGGTCTGTCTCGCGCTGTCTCGCGGTTTCACACTATTACAGGTTCTCAAAACTTCGTAGGGGTCGTCCAGAAAGTACGTCCGTTTTTCTCTCAGGTTCGTTCATTTGGCACATTACGGGAGCTCGACGCCTGCGAGACTCCGGGTAGGCCACCCCGCCGTGCACGCGTGCACTTGCAGGCAAGATGTTGCCTACCCATAGGGCGCTATGAGAGCTTGCACGGGCAACTTCGTGACGGCGAATGCCGGGCGTACTTTCCGGATGATCCCTTTGCTGAGGTTCGCCGACTCGACTTTTAAGTTAAAGGCCGCTCTTAGGCCAGTTAGCGCGCTCCCCGAGTGCTTGGTGAGGTGCGACAGCGGGCGCCGCGCGAGGGGCCCGGCCGGGCGCCTTTTGGGTAGGCCACCGCTCAGGGTCGTGCAGTCGTGTCTGGCGGGTGCCTACCTCCCCGGCGCTCCGCTCCTCGCTGCCGTAAACCAGCCACCAGCCTGACCTTGTGCTTCTTTCTCCTGATGCCGCAGTGCTTCGTGGACGCGCTGTGCACGGGCCTGGGCGACCACGGGGATGACTCCAGCTACGACAGCGACGCGGAGGGCGACGGCGACTACGGCGACCTCGGCGAGCACGCGGACCACGGCGACGCGCACCAGGACGTGAGCCGGACCACGTCGGAGACCCTCGCCGCCGAGTACGCCGACTACGTGACCCAGGGGTAGGTGCTCGCGACAAGCCGTGGTAGAGCCGTGAATACGCGCTGGGCGCTGACCGGGAGGGTGTTGTTGGTGTCCCACAGAGATGCCGCCGTGTCACGCCTGGAGTTCGGACTCCGCCTGGGCTACACAGAGCCGCTGGTGCGGGCCGCGCTGCGCCGCCTGGGCCCCAACCCCGCCCAGAACGAGTTGCTGGCCGAGCTCATCCGGCAGGCGGCCAAGGCACCCCGACGGGGGCAGGCGGCGGCCGCGGCCCCGGCCCCGGTGGCTCCGGGTCCCGCCCCCGGGGCCCCCGCCGGCGCCGCGCGGGAAGACGACGCCGCCGCCCCCGCCGCACCCTTGCGCCCGCGCCTCCGGCCCATCGTCATCGACGGCAGCAACGTGGCCATGAGCCACGGCAACAAGGAGGTGTTCTCGTGCCGCGGCCTGCGCCTCTGCGTGGACTGGTTCCGCGCGCGCGGCCACACCGAGATCACCGTCTTCGTGCCCAAGTGGCGCAAGGAGGCGGCCCGGCCCGACAACCTGGTCACGGAGCAGTCCATCCTCGGCGACCTGGAGCGCGAGCGCCTGCTCGTGTACACGCCGTCGCGACTCGTGGGCGGCAAGCGCCTCGTGTGCTACGACGACCGCTACGTGCTGCGCCTGGCCGCGGACACGGGCGGCGTCGTCGTGAGCAACGACAACTACCGCGACCTGGCGCAGGAGAACGCCGACTTCCGGCGCGTCATCGAGGAGCGCATCCTCATGTACTCGTTCGTCAACGACAGGTGAGTGTGCCCGCGACGCGCTGCTGCCTCTTGGCGCGACGTGTCCCCCTAACGCCCTCCTCGTGTTCCAGGTTCATGCCCCCGGAGGACCCCCTGGGCCGGTCGGGCCCCTCCCTCGACCAGTTCCTGCTGCTGGCGCCCGCGCGCGCGGACCAGGCGCCGCCCTGCCCCTACGCCAAGAAGTGCACGTACGGCAACAAGTGCAAGTTCAGCCACCCGGAGCGCGGGTCGTTGCCGCACAAGTCGGTGACGGAGCGGCTGGCCGAGCAGGCCCAGCGTCAGCTGCTGGCGGCCGGCCTACGCGGCCCCGGCGGCAGCCAAGGTTAGCACCCCTGTCTGCAACTAGAGATTAAATAAATTCAGTTTTATTGAAATGTTAAGGGCATGACTTGACTGGACTCTGTCCTCCCCCACCAGGCAAGCAGCTCAAGGGCAAGTCGCTGAGCCTGCCTCTGGACGCGGACAGCAGCCAGCAGGTCGGCGCCGCGGCGCGCAAGATGCCGCTGACGCGCTCTCAGTCCGGCGTGCCCAAGAGCTTCAGCGGGGAGCCCGTCACGGCGGGCGCGGCCGCGGGTGCGGGCCCGGGTGGCGGCAGCGGCGGTGGAGGTGGCGGCGGCAGCGCGGCCAATCTTCACCGCCCGCTGCAGCGGCAGCTCAGCCTCAACCCGACGTTCGACCCGCGGCTGCTGCAGATGCGTCGCGCCATCGGGGCCGACTGCGGCGCCCCGCTCACCAGCCCACTCACCAGCCCGCTCTCCAGCCCGCTTACTAGCCCGCTCACCGGCCCGCTCACCAGCCCCATCGCCCACGCGGGGGTGACGCGCATCTCTTCGGCGCCCGACTCGTGCCGGCCGGGGCCCTGGGCGCCGCAGCGCCGGGTGGCGCCCGCCCTGAGCGCCCTAGGGGGGACCCCTCTGGGAGGGTCCCCCCTGGGGGCTTGCGGCGCCAGCGGCAGCGAGCCCCAGCTCAGCACGGGATGCACGGGCTACGAGTGGAGCCAGGCGCTGTACAACCACCAGGCCCAGCAGGTGCGCCAGCGGCTGCACTACCACCTCGCCTCCATCTTCCCCGAGGACCTGGTGGCCACGGCCATGTCGCTGTACCCGGACGAGGTGGACCCCCAGAAGATCTGCGCCGCCATCCTGGCGCTGCAACAGCAGCAACAGCAGCAACAGCAACAACAGCAGCAGCAGCAGCAGCAGCAGCGGCTGCAGCGCGGTGAGCCCAAGCCGTGATGGCAGAGCGTCTCCGCTTCCTCACGGGAGGGCACAGTGATCTGACTCTCTCTCCCCGATAAGAAGGTGTCCACGTCCAGTAGTCAGTTTCCCCGAAAGAAACAGACATTAATTCGATGAGAGGGTCAGCTTGACCAGTTTCTTGGTTAAATGTTTTGGGAGTTTTTAAAGTCTGGTTGACGAGTTTTTGCAGTAAATTATTAGAACATTTTTAGAAATTTGTTGTCATGCAGGAGTTAAGATAAAGATAATATGTTGTGATATGCTGTGCTTGTGATTGTATTTTCCGGAAGTCTCTTGGTCAGACCAGAGGTCCTTGTGATTTTTCAGAAGATTTCGTTAAATATGATGTTTAATAGATTTTGTTTGAATTTCTTGCTGGACGAGAAAATAATTATGAAAATGCAAGTGGCGTGTCTTCAAAGAAGACCTATACTGACCCTAAATGCTCAGAGCATATCCTGATGTGGTTCATTTTCCTCTTATTTTGAGGAAGTATTTTCAGTTATTTTATATAAACTTAAAGTAGTTGTGATGATTAGAAAAAACAACAACTTGTTATTCAGAATTATTTGTAGATGGACAGTCAAATCACCTTCTGTGAGGTCAAAAAAATAGCATCAGTATTTATTAATGATGAAATTGTGCCATGTTCCTTATGCCCCTCTCTTTGGGCATCAAGTCAGGGTGAGATGTGAATTTCCACACTTTGAAAACAAGGTTTGCGAGAACAAAATCACACCCAGGTAAATGGTTTGTTTTGACAAGAAAGAATTCTAAAAGAAGTTGTGGCTCATCTACACCATGAATGACACTGTCTAGCTTCTGAGAAGAAGCTGATCAGTTTGACACTAAATCTTTCTTGATTGCTACAGACTTAACTTCCCAGTCTTCTCCATAAATTTCATATCTCATTAAATTTAAAGGAGAAACTGTTAGGGATCATTTAATTAAAACTGCATAAAAAGATATTTTCACCACTTCGGCTGTGATGATGTTTTTTTTTTCCTTTTCTTTTTTCTCAGAATTTACATGTTTCCTTTTTTTCACATCCATTTTGATATGATAATAATGACATTGGTGTAATTTGGATCAGAGATTATTCTGCATCTATGTTTGGTAGGAAAGTATTACTTTTAATGTATTTTTTTCCATTTATATTTGTATTTCAGTCTCTGACAGCAGAGAACGAAAGTTCATTTCTAGTTGACTTGTAGGTCATGTCCATAAACAAACAGTGTCAAAAGTTCCATACCTTTTGTGCTGATATGTATTATCGCTGAAACCTTTTTAGGGTTCTTGTAGAATGTTAAATGTAAATTTATTTTTGCCTTTTTGGTTTTATTCCTGTGCTAAACTCAAGTATAATACTCTTGTGTTGACTGACCTGTTTATGCTGTATGATGTACCTTCTTGTGCTTCATTGTTTGTGTGCATTGGTTGGTCAACTTTCTGAATTTCACTGTCACAGGATTTTCTGAGTTTACTCAACAACACATACTGAGTATTCGCTGATTATTTGGAACTTTGTTTCAATTTTATGAGACAATATTGTGAGTGCGTAGATGTAGACAGACTATGTTGGAAGTTGAAAGAAAATTGTGTCTAGGAGGTATGTGCTGGTACTGTATTCATTGTGATTTCAAACCAACGAATTACTTTGAAATGTCTGTATACAGTCAGGTACCATCCTCCTTTCTTGTGGATCTGTTATCTAACTCATGAAACTGTCCTTGCCACCTGATGTTAATATCAAAAGTAATGTATTTTTTTTGTAGTAATTGTATTACTGCCATGTTTTCAGTCATTGACTTAAGTATATATTGTTGATTGTAGAGAAAGCTCAGAATTTGGGAAGTAGTTTTCTGTGTTAGAATTTTCTGTGGTCACTTGTCTTTTTTGCGTGTTACAAGAGAACCTAGGTCTTATGACGCATTGTCAATATTGATTCAAAATATTGTTAAATTTCCAATTGGAATCTTTTTTATGACATCAGATCTGTTAGATTTTATTAATAAGTTTGTCAATACTCGGACAAAAAATTGTGTGTGTATGCTGCTAGATTTAAATCTATAAGAAAAGAATACGCTTCAAAAATCTCTATTTTTATGAAAGACTTTTTTGCTTTACCTTGGGCAATGGCCAAATGTCTACATTCCAGATAGGTTTAACTCTAAGAAACTGTTGGTATAGATTTTTCTCTATCTTTCACCCTTCACTTTTCGTTTCCTTTGATCTTTATTCTCTTACTTTGACTTTCTCATGTTACCTTGAAATCTTCTCTCTTACATTCCAACCATCTTCTATTGAAGAAAATTGTATGTGTTCTTATCCTTATTACTGACTGTTTTTTGTATATTTTTTTTTAAATTGTTGTTTTTTATTAGGAAATTAATTTAGTTGAGTTGTGATTGCTGTACTTCCATCGGTATGATTAGACTGTGCTCTCTAAGAATTCAAAGTTTTGACTCATCTTTGTCATTTGAGCACAAAAGTCATTTTATGATTTGAAATCCAGCAACATTTGGGTGCAACACTGATATTCAATTGTATGAATTTATTACTATGCCTCTCACTTTATGGTAAGTAACGAGACCCTATTTAGTGATTCAATATGTGGTGTAACACTTATGCAATGGTCAGAAAAGCAGTTTCTGTGACGTTTTGTATCTTACCTAGTGTCTTATTCCTTTCTTGTATAACAAGCTGGAAAGGAACATTTTTTTTGTATACTTTCAAATATGCTGAGCAATGTTAATTCCCCAGTTTTGTTTTTAAATTTGTTGTAGGGGTACTTCAATCTCATAGGATCATCAATTTTGTTCCTAACTGTCTACATGTCATAAGGTTGAAAGTGGCCTAAAAGTTGTTTTTTTCAACTTTATTGTTTTTAAAAGCTTTTGGTTTGACTAGAAGCTTTTATTCCTACTGGCCATGGCTTCAATCTTTGAGAACCGCTCACAAAGAAAGCTGAAGGCTCATGATTCCTTTTGAAACTTAGTGTGAAATTTGTTTTTCTGGGAAGGTTAAAGATTTTTGTGTACATATACTAGACATTTTTGTTCTAACTTTTTGTTTGTTTTTCCTCTCAAAAAGGAAAGCATAATTGTGTTAATAACAATTGAATATTTCCATTATGTTATATGGGAACATACTTGTTTTATTTATGTTGAACTACGTTTTATGTAGGCTTTGTATTGGGTATTCCAAAGACGTTGTATGTACATAGGTATATGGCATTGGTGATAGCTTATTTATGTAAATTGGAACAAAATTTTTGTTTACAAAGTGAGTTTTATCTCTTTGTGACGTCTTATTTCATAACCAAGTTAAATTTTAATACAGCAATGTAAACTGAAATGTCCTGAGTGTTCATTAATGGGCTGGTCCCAGCTTCCCATAGCATCCGCCGTGTCCTTTCCTAGTTTCATTTCCCAGCGCGCAGATAGGGGCGCATCTCGCGAGCCTTTCGTCCAGGTGTCGGACCTCGACGAGTCGGCATGCGGCGATGGCATTTTTCACAGAACCGTGTTAGGTCCGGGGAAGACCCTTCTTCAGGAACGCGACTGATGACGTAGGTGCTTCGAGGTGAGAGGGGTCGTAACCCAAGATGGGGTACTATATGCTCGTTTTCTTGTAGAGTTCAGGCTTGATTTTCTAGACCCCACATCATAAAGTTACCGTCCAGGAAAAATGTTACCTTATGGAGAACAAACATATTTTTAGACAGTCCCCGAGACTGTGTCTTTGCTTGATTTGCCATGAAAAAGTACCACCCACATTCAAAAATCAGTAGTTTAGGATTAACTGCGCGAAACCTGCAGGCCCCAGCTTTCCCGTGTTTGGAAGAGACGACGTACACTTATCATGAGCAACTTGAGCCACAACATGCGATGCGATGGGCGTGGGAGCTGATCTGACCCCTGTGTGGAGGTAGGGAGGGGGGTCGCGGGGAAGGTGGGTAGGGGGAAGGGAGGCGGCCGCGCCGCGCGGTGCCGCAGGCCGCGGCCGCACACCGACACCGCACTCCCGGGCACGTCCACGACAGAAGCGGACGCACTCTCAGGACGCCGACGACGACACCCCACCAGACGACAACCATGGTCAAGTTCGCCCCCACGGTCAAGCTCAACAACGGGCAGGCGTTCCCCGTCATCGGCCTGGGCACCTGGAAGGTGAGTGCGCGCCGTAGGTCGCCGGGGAGGTGGAGAGCACGCACAGCAGGTGGGTGTGTCCGTCGGTGGGAAACAGACGAGCACCTCCGCGCCGTGAGAGGCCGGGGCGAGGGCCGGGGGCCACAGGAGGGGCGCTCAGGTCTTGCGGCCAACCGGGAGGGAGGAGAGACTAGGAAGGACGTCGTTTATTCCTCTCTGTAAGAGTGAGCCATAACCTCGCCGTCGTGCACTACATGACTGCGACGACGACGACTACGGGATCGGAAGAGGCGGACCTGGGTGCGAGACTCCTCGGCCGCCGCAAGGACACAGGCGGCGGCCGTCGCCCAGCCGTCGTTGGGGAGCGCGCCGTCGTGGCGATCGAAAGGTCAAAAGAAAGAAGTGAAGAGAGCTGTCAGGGCGCCGGGCCGGCTGCACCGCGCACCGCCACCACCGCCTTTGTGGCTGCGGTGGGGGAGCGGGCGGCGGCGGGGCGGGAGATTCGAACACGGGCGCGTTAGTGGCCAAGCAAGTAGGGGTCAGCGGCAGCGCTCGGCTCGGGGCGCAAGGGCGCGTCGTTGACGGGGGTGAAGGCCATCTCCAGGAATGATTGATGAAGCGCCCGGAGCCCCGACGACGAGGCGGGGTGCCTCGCGGACACGCCGGACTGTATCGACCTATCGACCCGGGCGGGGCGGGGCGCGGCTGTTGTGACCCTGGGGAGAAAGTGGTTGCGACACTCCCGCAGCTCGCCCACGATAACCGATATCGACCCGACGTCAGCTGAAGAAACAGTTTACATCATCGATGAGGGCTCTTTGTTTTTCTTTTCCTCCTTCTCCTTCTCACGTTGTCCTCTTTGATCTTGATTCCTACCTGCAGTCCAAGCCCGGCGAAGTCGAGCAGGCCGTCAAGGACGCCATCGACGCCGGCTACAGGCACATTGACGGCGCCTTCATCTACGGCAACGAGGTCGAGGTGGGGAACGGCATCCGCGCCAAGATCGCCGAGGGCGTCATCAAGAGGGAGGACATCTTCGTGACGAGCAAGCTGTGGAACACCTTCCACCGCCCCGACCTCGTTGTCGGCGCCGTCAAGAAGTCGCTCCAGAACTTCGGGCTCGACTACCTGGACCTGTACCTGATCCACTGGCCCGTCGCCTACCAGGTGAGTGCTCCCCGTCGTCCCGCCTGATGGAGGCCGTGAGAGTGAGGATCTCGGCGACTGACGGGGGTGTGCTGCTGCCCGCTTTGCAGGAGGAGGGCGAGCTCTTCCCCAGGGGCGCCGACGGCAAGGTGTTCTGGAGCGACGTGGACTACGTGGACACCTGGAAGGAGCTCGAGAAGTGCGTCCAGCTGGGGCTCCTCAAGGGCATCGGCCTGTCCAACTTCAACTCGGAGCAGGTGACTCGCGTCCTGGACAGCTGCACCATCAAGCCCGCCGTCAACCAGGTGGAGTGCCACGCCTACCTCAACCAGAAGAAGATGATCGACTTCTGCAAGAGCCGCGGCATCGTGGTGACCGCCTACAGTCCCCTGGGCTCCCCCGACAGGCCATGGGCCAAGCCCGGTGACCCCCAGCTCCTCGACGACGCCAAGATCGTCGCCATGGCCAAGAAGTACAACAAGACTCCCGCCCAGGTCGTGCTCCGATACCTGGTAAGAGTCACACAGTTGTTCTTTTTCGTGCCTTTTTCGAGCCCATCTCGTTTGTATGTTGTCAACGGGGTCCTCCGCTTCTCCCCTCAGATCCAGCACGGCACCGTGCCCATCCCCAAGTCTGTCACCAAGTCCCGCATCATTCAGAACTTCGCGGTGTTCGACTTCGAGCTGTCGGCCGAGGACGTGGCCGTCATGGACACCTTCGACTGCAACGGCCGTCTCTGCCCGCTCAACGAGTACGTATTTTCCGTTTACTGGCCGTGTTTTACATTTAATCCGAGCTCCTTGCCTCAACTCCATGTTTTTCACTCATTCCACAGCGGCAAAGGCCACAAGTACTGGCCTTTCAGCATCGACTTCTGAAGACATCACCGCTGTGCCCTCACCCCTGTATTTCTAAGACTGATTTCAACTGGTTGTGTGGTTTTGTAATTGTTATAAATAAAGAAAAACATTACCAAAAATCACAAAATTCCAGATTTTTCTTTTCTTTTGTCCTCACGCGCAGTATACACAATTCTGTTCAGAGTGAGACAATCTCTATCTTTGACACATTTTATGAACGAGATTCCGTTGGTGGGGCTGAGGAGGTAGAGGGTGTCACTTTGCATCTCATTACACGGCGCTCCTTCCCATTTCCTTCTCTAACGACACAAAACTACCCAAAACTACCGCGGCAGACTTTCTTATCTCCGTTATCGCCCCCGCCTCGCGCCACCCGGCCGCACGCTGCACATGACTTTGTTTTGTCTGCTCTCCGAACCCTAATAACGCCGGTGAAAGAACAGAACAGACCATTCGGCTGTCCTGCGAGCTTTGAGCCCGCCACTTCTCCACCCTCCCCGCGAGAGGGGTACCCATATGCAACCTTCTCGTCCCAGTGAGGGATGGCGATATCGAAACGATAGCACTCCGATTTCGGCAGTTCGGTTCAAGTTCAAACAAAGCATCAACTTGTGGCGTACAAGGTCAAAAAATAGTTCACTTTCTAATGTAACGTCACACACTTACGTCACACGTAAAACATTAAGGGGAAAACAGACAGATTGTGCGGTGTGGTGGACCCGCGACAAAGCAAGGGCGACACAAGGTGAAGGCCAGGGCCAGGGCTTTCGCCTCGGCTTTCCCCTCGGCTTTCGCCGGCCTGGCCGCCTACTTATCAAGATGAAAAGCGCTCTCGCCCCCACACAGTAGCGGCGCGGGGTGAAGGGGCAATATTATGTCCCGAAGCAGAGAAATGCCATCGAGCGGATCGATTCGAGCCCGGATTAAGCAGTACACACACACGCGCGCGCGCGCGCGTGACACACACGCAAGCACACACGCCAGCACACACACACACACACACACACAGAGGGAGAGGGAGAAGTGGCGCCGCTTTTCTTGCGCGTTCCTCCTTCAGGCGAAGATGCCCCTCGAGTAGGCCTTGCCGCCGTCCTCCCGCTCGTCCGGGTCGGTGTAGCTCGGCGGCGCCCTGGAGACGGCCGTGTCGCCGTCGGTGAAGTGCCGCTCGTACACGTCCTGCCAGAAGCGCGCCCGCGCCCCGTAGATCTCCCACTCGACGGAGGGGTGGGCGGTGAAGGACAGGGCCGGGTAGGGCGCCCTCGAGGACGCGGGCAGGCGCGGCCACCGGAGGCCGCGGAGCTCGGGCTCGGGCTCGTCCTCGGGGGTGGGATCACTGCCGAGCAACACATTAGCTAAGAGGAGTTTTATTATTCGCCAGCTATGTCGCAAAAAAGTTAGCTATCTAGCAAAAAAGTTAGCTACCTAGCAAAAAAGTTAGCTATCTAGCAAAAAAATTTACATCTGCTCATCTGCCTCTAAAAAATAGCCCATGTAGCTAAACATGGCTAAAGTTTTAGCTACATAGCTAAAGTTATCCCTCATCTAGATATCGGTTTATCTATGCAACTAATCATATTTTTTTTCGTGAGTTTAACGACGAAACACTAACGAACGACCAAAACAGTTGGTAGCCCGCTTACCCGTATTTGATGAAGTTGGACAGGAAGGCCATCATCCGTCTCCTGGTCACCGCCTCCAGGCTGTCGTGCGCCAGCTCGGGCTCCGGCCCCGGGCCCTGGGGCTCGGCGCCCGCCCCGAAGTAGTACGACATGTCGTCGGCGTGCACCACCAGGCCTGCGGATCGGATCGGCTGCAGCGTTAGAAGGGCCCAGCCATTCGATGCGGCATCAAATTGACATCGAAACGATATCCGTTATCAGACATTTATGTCGAATTTTAGGATCTGTTCAAGATGTATTCAAAACACGAAAATCGACAATAATTTTCATAGCGATGTCGATGAGGGGCTGATATCGTTTCGGTATCTCGGTTTGGGGCGCGCTCGCTGTCTACAAACGCACCTGGCACGATGCACTTGCCGTACTTGACCCTGCTGCGGTTGAAGAAGCTGCTCTCGACGGCGAAGTTCATGAGGTAGGTGGGCGGCGCGGCCGGGTGGGCGGCGTGGAGGCGGGCCGCCCGCACCACGGGCATGCCGCTGAAGACGTCGCCCAGGTACTGCGGGGACGAGACTGTCAACGCGGGGGGTCACCGCGCAGTGCACGACACACGATACGGGTGACTCACAGTGTACATTTGGTGCATGGTGGGGTGCCTCTTGTTGTCGAAGTAGAGCTGCCGCACCTCCCGGGTGACGGCCGCTCGCTCGGGGGTCCCCAGCTCCAGGTCGAGGTCGTACGGGAGCGAGCGGTCCAGCTTGGCGTAGTGGTCGTCCAGTTTGTCCTCGTCGACCCGATTCCCTGCATTAAGACCACCACCGGGGAGCTCGAGGGGGCGGCGGCCGGACGGACGGGGACGGGGGGCGCGGGGACGACGGGCACCTACCTGTCCAGAGCTTCGTATCGCCCCGGATCACGTGGCCGTCGTCGCGGGCGAGGCTGAACATGGTGGGCACGGGGGAGACCTGCATGCCGTCGCGGAGCATCTTGAAAGGGTGCGCAGGGAACACGGCGTCCTCGGGCCTCGCGACGCAGTGCCCGTCGATCACGGGCAAGAAGGGCGGGTTGGCGCGGTCGGCGGGCTGCGTCAGGAGGGTCTTGTAGGGCACAGTTTGAGGGGCGGCTGGGGCGGGAGTGTTAGGGATTAAAAGGCCGGAAAAATAAAACAGGAAAAAGCTTGACAAAATGTCCCTCATTTCTCGATTTTTTTCCAAATTTTCACGAAAAATTTCCGGAAAAACGTTTTTTTCTTTTTCGAAAAACTTGAACATTTCCGGAAAATTGAAATCTCTAGAGAGGGTGGCCTTACCGGCGGGCTGGCCATGCAGTCCCAGGACTTGCCGAAGAGCTCCATGGCCGGCACGCTCTGGAGGAACTCGAACACCTCCTCGTCGCTGGCCTTCTCGTCACAGCCCAGGATGCGGGCGAGCTTCAAGGTCCGCTCCCGCAGCACTTCGCCCGGCAGCGCGCCGTACTGTTGGCAAGCCAGGACAGCGGTGAGGTGTCTGACGCCGACCTGGACTGGGCAGAGCCCGGGGGAGCAGTGTACCCACCCAGGTGTTGTTCATCGCCCCGCTGAAGATCATGCTCCGCTGGAAGGTGCCCTTGGCCGCCTCGACGAACTGCAGGGTGTGCGCGATGTACGCGCCGATGCAGAAGCCGAACGCGGTGACGCGCTCCGGGTCGCCGCCGAAGGCCGCGATGTTCTCGCGCACCCAGCGCATGCCGAGCACCGCGTCCTTGAGGCCCATGTTGCCGGGGGCGAGCGGCGTGTTGAGCGACATGAAGCCTGCGCACAGGCGGGGTCAGCGTCGAGCACCTGCCCGCCCTTACTACCGAAACGATAAATGGAGGCTTTCATACCGAAGGCCAGTAGCCTGTAGTTGATGACGACCACGACGATGTCCTTGGCGACGAACAGTTCCGGCCCCACCTCGTTCATGGAGGAGTTGTTGAGGCTCCACATGCCGTAGTGGAAGTACACCAGCACGGGCTTCCTACTGCTGGCCTCGGTGCCCGGCGGCCGGTACACGTTGAGGTACAGGCAGTCCTCGGAGCCGACCACCTTCTTCAGGTAGTAGTCGATCTGCAGCGGGGGCGGCCTCTCCTGCTCGGCCGGCAGCACCCCGGCCCAGGGCTCGGCGGGCTGCGGCGGCTGGAAGCGCAGGCGGCCCAGGGGAGGGCGCGCGAACGGCACGCCGAGGAAGGCCTGGAAGGGCGGCGCCGCGTTCTGCTGCACCTCGCGGCCGCGGAGCACGCCGCCGTGCGGCAGGGTCACCTCCAGGGACTGCAACACGAAACCCAGTAAGTTACCGCCCAGGCCGGTCAAGGCATTAAACGTTATTAACCCTGAAGGATCATATCATATAATTAGGGGCCCTGAACAGAAAGCATCGCACTCGGTAAAATGGACAAAAAGGACAACGAAATTCGTGAAAAATATACATATATCTCCACTGTTGAGAGGGATCTCTCGTCGGGCAGGGCCTCGGCCTCAGGGCTGCGGGCCATGAGGGTCGAGCAGACTGCGCCCATGGTGGTCGAGTCCGGGCCGGGGGTGAGTGTTCACTACGCACCGCCGAGCCGGACATGCCGAAGACGCGCCTCGCGGCCCGGGGAGGCGTCCGTACTGACTCACGGGCCCAGGAGCGGGGTCCAGGACCGCGCCGCAGGGGCGTTTGCAATGCTAAGTGCCCCAACCGCCGTGCCCCTCGGACCCTGTCCCGCAGCGCTAGCCGCTTCCCGACCGTTAGTTTCAACATCAGCTGTCATACCTTTCGCATGCAAAGGCAGCAATTTAGCAAACATTTACCGGTTGTGCTCTTTGTCCTACAGATCGTCTATGGGTGAGAGAGAGAGAGAGAGAGAGAGAGAGAGAGAGAGAGAGAGAGAGAGAGAGAGACGGTGACTTGGCCGCTCTCCGCCTGGCCTTGAGAGAGGAGA